TCTTGAATTTCTACAAGCCCTCCCGGATGATATGCGGGCGGATGTCGTGGAACAACATCTGCGCGAGCAGAGACAGCACCAACGCCCCGCTGCAAGCGCCAATATCCCCGAACCGGTCTCTCAAATCAATTCCGAGTTCCTTGAAGCGCTACCCCCTGATATCCGAGCCGAAGTCATCATGCAAGAAGCAATGGAAAGCGAACGCCGCAATCGCCCCCAGCCACCCCTGGCGAGCGGTCCTTCGAGAACCTTCCTCTCTTCCATCGCGAATCAGTTGCGAGGTGTCCTAGGCACCCAAGGCGAAGGTTCGGGAAATGCCATCAAAGCTGAACGACCTGATGGAGCGAAGGGACGACATCGCGAAGCTTTACAGCTTCTGGAAAAGTCTGGCATTGCCGTCCTTGTCAGATTATTGTTCTTCCCCCATGCTTTGAAGAAGTCGTCTCTATTTAAGGTTCTTGTCAACCTTTGCGAGAACAGCAACACTCGCAATGACCTTTTGGACTTGTTGATTTCGGTCGTCCATGACGGCTCAGGTGATCTGCCCGCTGTTGATCGGAGTTTCCAGCAAATGTCTCTACGGGGCACATCCACTCCCAAGGCAACCCCCAAGGGAAAGGCCGCCGAATCACCCGCCGCAGTGATACCTTCGAGCCTGTTCAGCCATCTGCAAGCCGAACATGTACCGACCTTCATCACTCAACGATGTTTCGAAGCTCTCGCCTACATCGTGACCTCGAACGCTCATGCGGCCTCTTACTTCCTTTCCGAGCACGAGCAAACTGCAGGCCTTCGAAAGCATTCGTCAAAGAAAAGTAAAGGGAAGGAGAAATCTCTGCCTCAGACAAAGTTCCCGATCGTCATTTTACTTGGCCTGCTTGATCGTCCAGTGCTTGCCAAAACGCCTGGATTGATGGATACTGTCACAGCTCTTTTGTTGACCGTCACTAAGCCCTTGGCGGAGCGCAAGGCCGAGGGTGATCAAGCGAAATCTGCCGTAGCAGCTGGCGGCGATTCGTCTGCTTCTGCGGACGACGCTGCCAGGATTGCAGCGGTCCAGAGTGCTGTTGAACCGACAAAGACGTTGCCTCATGGCAAGGGAATCCCCTCAATTCCTGCGCCTGTCCTTCGCCTCATTGTCAATTGTCTCACATCTGGCGATTGCACAAGCCGCACTTTCAGCCAGACGCTGGGTGCCATGCAGAATCTCTCCAACCTTCCTGAAGGGAAAGATGTGATCCTACAAGAGCTCTGCTTGCGTTGTCGTGACCTCGGGCATCTTGCCAACGAGCAACTCCAAGAACTTGTGAACGCATTAGAGGTTGAGGCGGATGTCGGGCCTTTGACGCTCATCAGCTTTTCGCCTCCATCCTCTGCTCAGGCCCAACTTCTCCGTCTGCTAAAGACCATCGACTATCTCCATCTCAACAAGGTCGATCCTGACCCGCCCTCTGAGCAAATGACCAGTGAGGAACAAGCTGTCACTCAAATCTTCGGCACTTTCGATTTCGGAGAACTCTGGGAGCAGTTGGGTCGGTGCTTGTCCATGGTCGAGGCTCGCGGTAACACCGAGCAACTTGCAACTGTTCTTTTGCCGCTTGTTGAGGCTTTGATGGTAATATCAAAGTACAAGAGTCACTTGCCTCGCGACACTAGATCATCGTCTACTCCGCCGTCATCGACAGAAAGCGCAGACTTTTTCGTCACTTTCACGACTGCTCATCGAAAAGTCCTCAACACCATCGTTCGCAACAACCCATCACTTCTGAGTGGCTCATTTTCGCTTCTCATACGCAACCCTCGCGTGCTCGAATTTGACAACAAACGCACCTGGTTTTTCCAAAAGCTCAAGAAAAAGAAGTCGTCGATTGTGCCCGCCGGTCCCCTTCATCTCAACGTCCGACGTCAATATGTTTTCGAGGACTCTTTCTCGGCTTTGCAAAGGTGGAGCGGGGAGGAGCTAAAGTACGGAAAGTTGAGTGTCAAATTCCGTCAGGAAGATGGTGTCGATGCAGGCGGCGTCACACGAGAGTGGTACAGTGTGCTGGCGCAGCAGATCTTCGATCCAAACTTTGGTGAGTGTCTCAATGATCCATCTTGTACGGCTGATTTATGGAACATAAGCCCTCTTCGAGCCATGCGCTGCAGATCAGCAGACATACCAGCCAAACAAAATGTCTTGGATGTAAGTTCCATACCCAAGAAACTCGGCCATGGACCCCTTTGACAAATTCTGGTAGTAACGATGTTCACCTATCATACTTCAAATTTGTTGGACGAGTCATAGGGTAAGTTAATCCTCATGATCGGGTTTGTAAATGACTTGTGCTGACTGTTTCACAAAGAAAAGCGGTTTATGAGTACGTGTACCACTTGCAAACCGGGCATATTCTGACAAAATTGCAGTGGGCGCCTCCTGGATGCTTACTTCAACCGCGCATTCTACAAACAGATTTTGGGCAGAACGGTGGACATGCGTGACCTGGAGAGCATTGATCCTGAGTTTGTGACACTCACAACAATTTTTGTATCACTGCTGATTGTTTATAAGGTACCACAAATCACTGCAATGGATGCTGAACAACGACATCACCGGCATCATTGACGTAAGGGTTGACTATACGAAGCTGAGATCTTAGTACTGACATCTACAACAGCAAGAGTTCACTACCGAGGATGATCAATTTGGTGAAAAGAAGACAGTGGAGCTCAAGCCTGATGGCGCCAATATTCCTGTCACTGAAGACAACAAAGAGGAATATGTGCGACTTGTTGTTTCATACCGTCTGGACAACTCTATACGCGATCAAATAAAGGCTTTCCTTGAAGGGTTCTATGAGTGAGCGGACTGATGTTTCTGGTCATTTGTGTTTGCAAAAGCTGACTACAACTGAAAGCATCATCCCTCATGAGCTTATCCAAATATTTGAGCCCGACCAGCTTGAGCGCAAGTTGCAACTCTTTACTATCTTTGTATCAGAGCTGACAAAGGTGATACAGTCCTCATCTCTGGAATCACAACGGTGGATGTTGATGAGCTCAAGAACGCTACCCAGTGAGTTATTACCCTCCATTGTTGTTCAATTGTACTCCTACCTACGCTGAGATCAACAGGTTGAGTGGGTGGAAGTCAACAGATCCGGAGATATCCTGGTTCTGGCGCGCGCTCCGAATATTCTCACAGGAGGAAAGATCACGCTTCCTGATGTTTGTGACATCATCATCACGAGTTCCTCTTGGTGGATTTGCGCAGCTACAAGGAAGCTCTGGTACACAGCCATTCCAGATCCAGAAAGTGCGTATTCATTAGTGATTGTGCAAGTCAGAGGACTGACAGGCGGGCCAGTTGTATGGGAAAGAAGGCGGACTTCCTCAAGCGAGCACATGTTTCAACCTGCTTCTGTTGCCAACATATACGTCATATGAGCAATTGCGAGAACGATTGCAGTTTGCAATCACCGAGACAGGAGGCTTTGGTAAGGCTTAGTTGATCAGGCAAAGAAATAAACAAAATCCCACAAGTCAATTGCTTTATGAACCACTTTTATGAGATCATGTAATAAGTAGCAGATGCAATCATGCATATATCATAGACCAGTTAGAACAAAAGGAATAGCAGACTCTCAGAATGACAGGCATCCCTTGACCTCTGTAATGACAATGCCATGACCGCGCGCGCGCTCGGGCTTTCAAGTCCGATGATTACGTAAAGAAGCAAAGCAGCGCGTCGAGACACCACTGGGACTCTTTAGACGTTCTTCATTGGATTTTTGAGCCCCTTCTGTCCTCATGACCCCTTTAGCATCCTTGGAGCAATCATCCATACTATATCTGTAGGGATCCCTCCCTCTTCACAGATATAGGGCTCAGAAATCAAGAGAGAATGAGACGACCCAACTTCACCCGTAACATCACTCAACAAGAACCTCTCTTCACAGAGACCTCGGTTATGTATGACCCTCTTTACTGTCAGGAGTAAGCAATCATGCTTGGAGCGAAGAGGCCCAATTCTCGTAGCTTTCATACATAGAAGAAGCACACATGTACGGTATATAAGGAAGTGATACAAGATCAGACAAGACGAGATGAGACGAGACAGATCCCATAAGTATATAAAGAGGCCATTCGATCTTCAATCTTGATCTCTTCCTTGATGGGCCAATATTGTTGCCCCTTTATACACACACTCAATAAGCTCAAAAAGCTGCACGGACCATCGGATTATCAGTTCATAAATCAGAATTAATATGAATTGCTTCACGCCGGCGGTATGTGGGGTATTAGTCCTTCAGACAGAACGGTCTGCTCCTGGTAGGGCTTTGGGTAATGGAAACGGCACTTTCCATCATGCACCATACATGGAGCGTTTGGATTGTGAGTACCACACAGCCCATGGAGCATGGAAGAGGTGATGACGATGCGGAGGCAAGGGGAAACTTCCTTGTTGGGTAGTGCTGACAACAGAAGCGACCTCTGCCGAGGTAATGGGTCGACAAGGCTGGGCGAAAATGATGAGAAGGTGGACTAAGGAGACCACACTTTTGGTATTCAACAACATGAGTTTGCGCTACAACCCTGCCAAAGACGCCATTCTTGCAAATGAGCTTGAGGAAGTGAGCCTTCTTCATCTCAAAGACGCGAGCTACCAGGTCAGGTCGGTCATGAGTAGATTGCTTTGCTTGCGTACCACACAGAGGAAGGAAAGGAAGAGAATCAAGCTCCAGCTATTCAGCTATTCATTGACAATTTCCTTCCAATCTGGGCAACAGGTCATGGTGATGAACAACGTTGGGGGGCCAAAATATCGCACCAAGGCCATGCTATCTTGGTAATTCTTCTGCATGTAGCACAGGCCACTGACATATGATGCAGGAAGTTTGAACTTGATTCCGAAGTTGTTAGTTGCCAGACCATCGTCCAACCCCCTGTGCAGAGCCTCCAAGCTTCACCACAAATCTCAGTTTGATTACTACAAAAATAATTTAGTGCTTTGTTCTTGATCACAGCTCCTGCACCCACAGCCCATTTTGGAAAAGTACACCAGAGCGAGCAGTGAAGATTTGGGTAGTGGCCAGCGTGGACGTGTAGGTGGAAGGAGTGCCAAACCCTAGGAGACATGCTATCTTCTCTTGTTGAGGTGCTAAGAAGATGGTAAGCAACATAAAGACATGGCAAATGACAGGGAAAAGCGGCTCACTAAGGGGGCAAAGAGCATTCAGATAGTTGTGAAGAGGGCCGTAATGCATATCATTGGACCAACCAAATTGCCCATTGGCAAGAATCAAGACATAGCGCATTGGGAGGTAGGTGCCATGCGCTTCCAAAATATGATGCATAGAGCAAGTCACCCCTTGGATGATGATATCGCGCTTATCAACTGAACCTTGGCCTGTGGGGATGATGACACCAACTTCGGATGCCCTAGGTCAATTGTACTGACGAACATCCCTCATAATGGGTTCCACCACTTTGATAAGAAAGCTGTGAGCTGTGTTGTATTCTGCTAGGCGGGTACGGGTACCCAGGAAAGCCTGTACCTAAAGGTTTTCCCTGTCCAACATACGGGATAGGGTGGAGACAGTGATGTCAATGAGGGAGTAATCACCTCCTGTCTGAGGTTGTTGGCAAATCTTGTTGGCCTCTGAATTGCCAGAAAGCTAAATCTGAAGGAAAACGGGGGGGAGTGTCATCGCCAGAGGGGAGGAGAGAGCCAACCAAGTGACAATGTTGTCCTTGTATCTTGAAAAGAGAGACTTCAGGTTGAAGGGATAGAGGATCTCTCTTCACACCAAGAGAAATCATGGCGAAGGCGTTATTGTAGGCAGCATTATGGGGGTGGAAATCTCTAGCAACTGCAGCCAGGTGAACCAAGAGACTAGCGACAAGCCAGGGTATCATGTACTGGGAGAGTCGTCTGACAAAAGAGCACAAAGCTCCAGAGGTGGGTCCCTGAAAGGCAAGATATCAACGGCGCCATAGCTGCAGCATTGCAAAACAGGCGTGGGAGGATCAGGGGGAGGAGAAGAGCTTTTCTCGTCTGCCCAGTGCAGAGCTTTGCAAGCGGGACACTCAATGGCCATGCAGCTCAAGTCATCCAGTGGAGGTACAGACAGCAAAGGGTGGCGGGCAGCAAACATCCCATGCAAGTTGGTGTAGCGGCAGGGCCTTGATGTTGAGCATCATCACCATCAGAGTTGTCAGAATTGTAATTGGACAACAGAGGCCCATTGATACTGATAAAGGGGATAGGCACAGGTCTGGCAACAGTATGGTGAGAGGGCCAGGGAAGAAGAGGCTGGATGGGTGGTGGAGAGCCTTCAGGCTTGTAGAAGTCACGGAGGCGAGTGGTGCAAGTGGATTGGCAAACAGCAGTGGCTTCCTCAAGATGTGGTGAAGGTGCAGCCACTGTGGCAGCACAGCAAGAGGGAGGCTGGGCGCAATGCCTAGTACTGGGCAGAGGCCCTTCAGGCTTGTAGATGTCACAAGGGCGGGTGGTGCAAGTGGATTGGCACATGGTTCAGTTAAGAGCAATCAGCAAGTGTATCAAAGAGAATGATATTTTGGATGGCAGGAAGAGAGAACCATGCTATGTAGCAGGTCAAGCAACTCCAACATATTTTCCTTGACTGCAGTGTTTCCAGCCTTTGTCTGGCATTTGAGGTGAACAAAAAAATGGAGCCAGGCACGGGAGGCAGGGTACAAAGAGGGTCCAGGAACCGGGGACAGCTTCAGGGGATCAGAAGGCAAAAGGGAGGTGGAGGCAGGTGGGGGCGGAGGACACCAATAATGTGTTATGACACATCTTAGCTGGCTTGACACCAGCCCCTTGTCCTGTGCACATAAACATCCCGCTGGAGAGGGGCTTGGCGCTCCCTGCCAAAGACTCGGAAGCCTGCAAATTATCACCCGCTTTTTGAGTGCTTAAGAAGTGTGTATCTCAACAACTGCTGATGCAATCAGCACCATTAGGGGAATTCAATTTGGCATTTAAGACCGCCTTAGACTGTTTAGCTTGCTTAAGGTGGTCAGGACTCAGGCACATGTAATCCTACCCTGAGCAGGGTCCATTTTTGCATCTTGACAGCTTGAAATCGGACTTTCCCAATGAGGCAATTCTGTCAGTTTAAGACCGGTCTGTTTAAGAGTGGCTTGAAAACATGTTCAAGTTTCAACTGACAGACAAATGCGGCGGCAGCATTGGTGTAAGGGATTGGTACAGATGTTGTGACGTGTAGGAACGCAGGGCTTGGTGCTAGGGTTGCCGCTATGGTCTCAGGGATGTGTAGGCCGGATTGCAAGATGAGGTTCCCACATACACATTGTGCTGCATCTCCTTATCCTTTTCCCTATCAATGTATTCTTGTAGTATCCTCCTCACCTATATCATCCTTCATCCATCCAGCCTATTCAAGGTCAACATCTAGCGCCCCTAGCTAGATCCACCACGTAACCGCCCTTAGGTCGTGACTCACCTATCCACCTCCTTACAGAAGAATACATCGCATTTCGACCTTTGATAGGCAAAACCCCACCCCTCCCCTCCGCCCATTCTTTTACCACGATCTGCCCCGTTTTTATCCCTCCTCCTGCCCCTTCTCTCCCCACATTTCCTATCGCAGGACCACATCGTTTTTCGACCTTCAATAGGCAAAGAACCCACCCATCCGCCCACCCTCTTGCCCCAACCTCCCCCATTTCATCCATCCACCCGCCCGTTCTCTCCCTACCTTTCCTTTTGCAGGACTGGGGTCCGCAGCCCCGCCGATAGTCTTGCTTGCTATTCAGCACACCACGAGTTTGGCCAACTCGCCCCACCCTTATCTCTTCCTCAGGCAATCTCCTTTACAAGGGTTGTTGCCCCCATACCCCACCGTGGTTGTCTCCTGTTTGAGAGCCACATTTCAATGTCTAGCGCCCATAGCTAGATCCACCGTGTAACCGCCCCTAGGTCACGCCTCACTGCATTTCCACGTCTGCGTGCCAATCAGGCCGGGACTTACCTTCACCCACATTTCCAAGTCTGCAAGCCGCCCAGGCTGCAACAAACCACCACGACCACTGTCCGCCAGCCACCCAGGCTGTGGCTAACCATCGTCTGTGGGCCACACAGGCCTAGTAGACAAACCCTTCAACACCTCTCCTGGGACTGCACCTCTAGTTATCAATCACGTTTGCAAAATTAGCGAGCTATTGTCACGACCGCGCTCCAGCTTCCACATCATCACAATTCAGTATTGAGCTGGACACATCGCGACACTCTTTTACTCAACACTTGTCATTACTTCCTCGTTTGTGGCACCCCTCTTGATTATTCTGGTACATCACAGTCATCATATCGTACCAGGAGCTACGCATATCTAGAACCATTGCTATCACCACACTTGCGCAGCAATTGAGCTCCAAAATACAACAACTCCAACTTAAACCGATATCTCCAACCAAGACCTAGACACCTGAGCACCCTCATTCTTCTCCACCCCAATTTCGATTCAGGAGACACCCAAACTACTTTCTATACATAGAGATACTTCCTATACATAAAGACAATTTCTTTACATAGAATCCGCTTCCAAAATACCTCGAGCTGTAGCTATTCTAAGACTTATTTCCGTAACAAATCACAAGAAAGCACAACAAGCTCAGGGGACGGATTAGTCAGTTGGGTGGCAAATATGGGAAAGCTGAGTAAGCCAGTAGGGCTCTGGATGTCTATATAAGTAGATAGTTTTACATAGATTCAAGGATCCCAGCAACCTCAAATATGTCTGACTTGCCTATGAACTAGGAATCGCAAGCGAACAGGCCTATTCAATTTATACTAGCTAAGCCGACAAGAAGTTTTTAGCCTTAGGTCAGTGCAAGTCCCTATCAAGTCCAGGATAGCCTTGCTAATTGGTCCCAACACGTACACATATATTGTTGATTGGAACTAACATATACATAGATAGCCCTTCCCCTTGTTTAAGATAAGAGATACTTTATACTGCTGAGCAGCTATAAGTACCACTGTGAGTAGGACCTGACAGCTATGTTCAGCACCTGCGCGAGATCAAGCAGGCGCAAGTCGCCCCAGCTCTCCTTTCTATGGGAGAGTTGATTTTACAACAAGCTTCAGACATGCAAGTTTGACACTCCGCATGTTGCCTTCTTGAATTATGTAGTTTCTTCCCTTCCCACAGCGATTTCATTCTTCACCACCTTTTCTTCCTTCTCAACCCTTGTTACTTTGAATTGAAAGAACCCTCCTTCAACCCGAGATATCATAACCTGCCCGGTGTAGTACCCTTATTGGACATTGACCTTTGCTTACATTATCTTTCCTTCACAGCCAATTCTCAATGTTCACCTACAATTCCATGAGTCCGCCGCTTCCCCACCTACCTGCCCGGCTTTCGCCATTTTGCTTGTCGATCCCCAACACCTCTTTGTTATCACCCACATTCCACCCCACCCCACCTTTCCTCCACTGCCATTGCTACCCTTCAGCAATCGATGCCCATTCTATCTGACCCCATCTCCACAAGGATGCTCAGTTTTAGACCCAGGGGAATGTAAGGGATTGGTACAGACTGGCTAGTAGGATGTGGTGATGTGTACTATGGAACATAGGGTTTGGTGCTAGGGTTGCTGCTGTGGTCTCTGGGATGCATAGGCCGGATTGCGAGATGAGGTTCCCATATATACATTGTGCTGTGTCTCCTTATCCTTCTCCCTGTTGATGTATTCTTGTAGTATCCTCATCACCATTATCCATCCTTCATCCATTCAGCCTATTCAAGGTCAACATCTAGCGCCCTTAGCTAAATCCACCACGTAACCGCCCCTAGGTTACGCCTTACCTTTCCACCTCCTTACACATGGCCGCAAAGGGAAACAGCTAAAAGACAAAGCACTCAGGCAGAGCCAGCTTTCAGGTCTATACCCACAAGCGCACGCACTGAGCCAGCAGTAAAACAGTGCTATATTGACAAGGCCCAATGAGCTTGGTATGCTAATAAGACCCAACTGACCGAGTGTTTTGGGATACCAACCTCAGACTAAGCCAACCGTTTGGCTGCTCCTGAGGAGAGGTTTCTGAATATAGATGTGTTCACTAAGCCCTTTCATAGGCAAGGCAGACGTATCCGAGGTCGTTGAGGAGCCTCGAATCTATGGAATACTACAGAATTATGAAGTTTAGAGTTTCTAGCTTACTCATCTTTCCCATAGCTCTGACTCATCTTTCGCATGGATGTATTTCTACTTTCTCATAAGTCTTACCAATCCTAGCTTGGAAGTATCCCTCGTATCTATGCGC